TTTATAATCTCATCCACACCAAATCGAAAGCATTTTCCTAATTGCGCCATCGCCAACATGAGTTAAAAATTGGCTTTGGCTTGGCAAATCATAATTAAATGTATTGACTATAATATGATATTTCCATATGTGTTTACATTATAGAATGGTTAAATCAAACTGATTAATATATTATTTCACATGTCCTTTTATTCTTTTGTGGTGAGAACATTCTTGGCAGTTTGGAATTACAGAGTACTTCATCAACCGCAGTCACTTTGCAGTGCAGTATCTGTCTGAGCTCCATTGTCCTGTCTAACTTCACACCTGGAACGCCTCTCTCCCCATCCTCCCACCCCACCACCTCTGGTGACCCTCCTTGTGCTTGGACTGCTACGATCTTAGCTCGGTAGACCATTTGTGATGGTTCTGTGTGAATCTTCCTGAGCCCAGCTTAGCATAACGTCTTCCAAGGCCGTCTATACTGTCACAAGCAGCAGAATGTCATTCTCTTTTAAGGTCCACTAGCACCCCGTCCCACTTGGCCCCTCGCCACCACGTTTTAAAAACCCTTCATCCATTGGCGTCCGTTAGGTTGACTGTGTTGACTACGATGTTGTAACGAACGCAACAGTGACGATGTGTGTTTGACACACTAGCTTTCATTTCTTCTAATTTGATGACCTTTAGCTCCAGACCCTCCATGGCTGGGGGTTACAGGCATGCCCCACCATGCCTGATTCTGACATACCGCTCATTTGAGAATATGCCCTGAAGAGCCCGCTGGGTCCTGGCCATTCTGCTGTCGGTCTGTGGGAATGGCCGTGCTGTTCTCCATGCTGCGGTATTAGTTTTTATTCCCGCCAACACTGTTCAAGGGTCTCTTTCCCCACGTTCTTGCTGCTATTTTTTAACATGCGAAGGGGGCAGACCATTGCAGTTTAGCTTGCATTTCCCTTATAAGTGACGGATATTTTTCCATATAACTATATATGTGTATCTTTTTTTTTTTTTTGAGAAATAAGCATCTGGGTTCTTGGCACACTAAACAAATGGTGCATCTATTTTCTTCCTGTTAAGCTGCTTATCTACTTTGGATTGTAGCTTGCCACCAGATGTGCAGTGTGAAAGCATCCTCTCCCGGTCTGTGAGAGACCTCCACTCAGTTGCTGTCAAGGAGCTCCTCAGCTTGGCGCGTTCCATTGGTCTGTCTGTGTCTGTGCCTTTGATTTCAGAGACATGTCAGGGTCCACTGTGAGTCGTAGAGATCATCCTATTTTATGTTATGTGCATCCGTGTTTTGCCCGCATGCGTGGCTAGCACACTGCCTGCGTGTAGTGCCTTCAGAGGGCAGAAGGGGGTGTCAGATCCCCCTCAGACTGTCGCCACACGAGTGCTGGGAATCAAACCCAGGACCTCTGGAGGAGCAGCCAGTGCTCTTAACCACTGAGCCATCTCTCCAGCCCCTATTGTGAATTTTCACTTGGATTTTTTCCCCCTGCATTTGTATCTTCAAGAGAATTGTAAGCTGCACAAGTCAGAATTCAGTCGGAAAATGGGAAACTACTCCAGATGATATTTCTGCTAGCAGACAGCCCATGCTGGGGATCTGACAGAGCCAAAGGGACATGCTGTCAGCCTCGGGGACAGCAGCGTGAAGCCGTCTTCCCAGGTGGAGGGAGAGTTGCAGGAGGCAGGAGACACACAGTTCAGCACACACTTGAAAACAGGGCCCTTTCTGCCCCCAGATGATCCACTAATGCTCGCACTCCCCAGTTAGCGGATAGAACGCACTTAGAATCGCTGAAGAGAGGCTGCACAAAACGGTGTGTCTTCATATGCAAAATCTGAAGTCTAATGCCACCGTGGATCTTAGGTTGAAATTCTAAAGAAAGTCTGCTAGATTTTTAAATGTCCCAAATGGTTAAATACCAGACGCACCCCAGAACTCAAGGCACACTGGGAACTTGGAAACTGATCTTTAAATCCCGCACAAAAGTCTAAGGCTGAGTTGCCTCACCATTTGATGCTTCCGTTCCTCCTGTCTGATCAGAAGTGGGGTGAGGTGATACTCATAAGTGAACTGAGATAATCAACTCAAGTTAGGACTTGAGTTCAAATCCCCAGAACCCACATAAAGCCAGGCGCGTGTGCTTGTGAGACCCATGCTCTTGTGGCAAGACTGGAGGGAGGCAGAGGCAGGGGGATTCCAGGAAGTGCACCGGCCCAGCCGTCTGGTGTGTGTGGTGTCAATCAAAAGAGAATCTGCATCAAGCAGGAGGGAAGCCGAGGACCAAGAGGCTGTCCTCCACCCCTCACGTGCACGCCGAGGTATGAGCGCGCCCTCACGCACACATCCCCCGCGATTGACAAATGTCATCCTCCCGTAGTGCACATATTGACTGAAGAGCTTCTATTGGGCAGCTAAGTATGAATCAAGACGTGAAATAAGCCAGTTGTAGTTGAAACTTTTTCTCTGTCTCCCCCAGTCCCCTTGAACCTTCTTCTCTCCTGCCCACCGGGCCCCCACAGCCGCTTATGAAATAATCGCTCAGAGGCTGATAGGAAATATAATTGTTTGGCCAATGGCTCAGGCTTATTACCGGCTAGCTCTCTCTTATAAATGTATTTTAATAATTATTTTTAATAATCTGTGTATCACCACGTGGCTGTGGCTTACCGGTAATGTTCTGGCATCTTACCTCATTGGCGGCTATGAGGTGTCTCCCTGGCTACGCCTTCTTTTCTTCCTTCATTTCTATTTGGATTTCCCACCTAGCTCTATTCTGCTTGACCATTGGCTGAATCAGCTGTATTTATCAGCCAATAAAAGCAACACATATTCACAGCATACAGAAGGACACCTCATAATCAGCCAAGGATCAAGACGTGGTTTTTTTTTTTTTGCTTGTTTGTTTTTGTTTTTAAAAGATGAGATTGTTTTAGAACTAATAAATGGAACGAGGAAATCAGAGTTACTGAATCTGGAGTTACTGGGCTGGCACAACAAGCAGCTTTGGATTGGACGACCAGGGTGGTCTTGCTAGGGGATGCTTAGCCCAAACGTTACGGCAGGTGCCACGGCCCTGAGGCTGGCTGGTGCGATGGTGCTGAATCCCGGCTGTCATTTCTAGGGAGCAGCTAATACAGATGAGACTGCATTTGTCTAACGAACGTGAAGGGAGGCCGAAGGGATAGATGGAGCAAGGCCAGGTTACTCAGAGTCCATAAAAGGAGTGTTTTGTTTTTCACTTGTAGTGGGCAGCGCGCCCCCGCCCCCCAGAGTGTAATCAAGGGGTGCCTGTCAGTCTTGGTCTGGTACCTGTCAGCGTCCTCGCTCTTCAAGACTGCTGTCCCCTGTATCGGATGCCTGCAAATAAATTTATGAAGCGTCGTTTTGCTTCTTTGAAAACTTCTTTTGCTACAAGGTCTCTCTCTGTGTCCCTGGCTGTCCTGGAACTCACTCTGCAGACCAGGCTGGCCTCGAACTCACAGAGATCTGACTGCCTCTGCCTCCCAAGTGCTGGGGTGTTCGCTTCATTTTTTAAGACAGACTTTTCATAGCTTAGGCTGGCATCAAACTCATTATGTGTTTGAGGCCGGCCTTGAACTCCTGATCCTCCTGTCTCTACTTCCCAAGCGCTGGAATTACAGACGTGCACACCAGGTTTTATTTGAAACGTTTCGAGCTTTGGATCGCACTATGGCTCAAGATCAACTCTCGGGGGCATCTGTGGGTGAAACCTAGAAGATAAAGGCAACCCCGTCTAGCAGGGCCACAGCAGGGCAGGACTAGGAAAGAGAGTGAGGTTCAACGGCACACATGGGCCTTGTGTGGAAGAGGCTTCCTGCACCTGGGAGGCCAGATGGAAAGTGCTGTTATTGGGGTGGGAAGGGCAGGGCAGCAGGAACAGCCCGGATACTCTGAAAGGGGCAGTGTGCTCGATTGATGGGTCAGCGAGCTCCTTGTTCTCTGCTCTTCCATTGTGTGACTGCTTCCTGCCTGCAGGAGCCAAGGTGCGTTCACTACAACTGTACAGCGTGCAGCACACACCGTACATCATACATCATACAGCGTGCAGCGCACACCGTACATCATACATCATACAGCGTGCAGCGCACACCGTACATCATACATCATACAGCGTACACCATATGTCATACAATGTGCAGCACACACCGTACATCATACATCATACAGCGTGCAGCACACACCGTACATCATACATCATACAGCGTGCAGCGCACACTGTACATCATACATCATACAGCGTGCAGCGCACACCGTACATCATACATCATACAGCGTACACCATATGTCATACAATGTGCAGCACACACCATACATCATACATCATACAGCGTGCAGCACACACCGTACATCATACATCATACAGCGTACACCATATGTCATACAATGTGCAGCACACACCATACATCATACATCATACAGCATGCAGCGCACACCGTACATCATACATCATACAATGTGCAGCACACACCGTACATCATACATCATACAGTGTACATCATACATCATACAGCGTGCAGCACACACCGTACATCATACAATATGAAGCACACACTGTACATCATACCATATAGCATACGGGATACAACATACATCATACATCATACAGTGTGCAGCACACACTGTATATCATATGCCATTCATCATACAGCATACAGTGTACAGTGTATAGCATGTAGCCCATAGTATATAGCACGCACCATACAACATACAGGATACAATATATGCCATACAGCATATAGCACATGCTATGCCCCATGCAGTGTACAGAGTACACCACACAGCGTGGTGGACAGCGTTCAGCATACAGCGTACACCACACAGCGTGGTGGACAGCGTTCAGCGTTCAGCGTACACCACAGGCTGCTCCAGGCACAAGCCCAGCCCTGACTTTGCTGCACACCTTCCTACAGCTCGGCAGCTGTCTGTCTGTCTGTCTGCTCCGGTGGCAGGAGGCGGTTGTGACTCAGCAGTTATGTCTTTATGAGGCTTTCTTCCTTGTCTGCCCTTTCTAAAAGGAAATCGTGTCGAGGCTCTCTAAGGGCGGTTGGCGTGTGTGTGTGTGTGTGTGTGTGTGTGTGTGCATGCACACTTGCGGCAAGCTGATTCTCAACCACTTTAGAAATATACAGCACAGCAACGAGAAAAAAACCGCAGCAGAGCTCAGCATTTGAGTAACGTCTTTTTCCAGCGATAACCGGCCTGGGTTTGATCTCTTGCCATGGGCAGCAGGCTTTCGCAGTGGCAGTAGGAGTGGTGAGCCCGTCTTCTCCATGGGTAAGGACCGGGCAATGGCTAGAATGACTCTTTAACTGGGGTGGTTTGATCAGTCAAACAGATAACTCGAGTTTGTCTCTTGATATTTCAAATTGGAAAGATTTCTTTCTGTCTCTGGGAAACCTATTTAAAAATGTGAGCAATTGGAATCTATGCAGCCAGAAGGAATAGAAATGATTTTATGGGGATTGGTGTCCAGTCCATGGAGGTGGTGGAGCATGGAGGGGTCAGGAGGTCGCAGGAACCTTGGAAAGCAGACATTAAGATGGAGCAATCAGGCAGCCAGCTACTTCCCTCAGGAGCCGGGTCTCCATAAAGAAAGCTCTCTTTCTGCGATACTGTGCATAATGGCTTTGGCGAAATACAAACTGGTGTGTTTTGCATGAGTCGTATGGTGTGCAGTGTGACTTTCTCTGGGCACAAGCATGAGGGGAAGGCTTCCTATTGGGACACGCAGCAGGCTGTGTGAACTTTGCCCTGCTGCTGGTCTCCCCCCACTTGGAGGGGAATTTTGCTAATGAATATATCTCTTTTTAAAACAAATGGTGATAATAACAGCACAGCTGTTTGTGTAACGAATGTTCCTCCTCATTATGCCCTAAGCCTTATAAGGACGACTTTGTCTCATCTCTGGTGCCATGTCCCCAGCAGATCATCTCTGGTGCCATGTCCCCAGCAGAGCAGAGACGCTGTGATAAACTGAAGCTGTCCTTGGAAGGGGCGTGGCTTAGTGGGGAGAGTGCTTGCTTGCCTAGCGTGCATGGAACCCTGGGCTCGAGCCCCGTCACGTCGTACAAACTGGACTCTGTAATTCCAGCATTCAGCGTGCTGGAAGCCGCGCGGCGGGGGGGGATCAGAAGTTCAAGACCATCCTGGGCTACATAGCAAGGGTTAGAGACATGTTAAAAAAATTCACAAGAAGCCAGAATCCAGCACTTAAATATTTCTATTACATTTTGGGAAAGTGAGGGAGTGGGCCATCTTGGGGTCATGCCTTTAGTCCTAGCATTTGGGAGGCAAAGGCAGTGAGTTCCAGGCCAGCCTGGTCTACATAGCAAGCTCCAGGCCAGCCAAGGCTACAGAGTGAGGTCCTGTCTCCAAACTGAACAAAATGAATGACCATGACGGTTCTGGAACCTAAATCTTGTGTCCGTGTTGTGTTCTACACGATTGCCCCAGTGTTTATTGGTGTCAGCAGAGAAAGACAGTAAAGAAATGGTTCCTTGGGCCGGTCCACGAAGCTGGCAGGTGACGGACCCCCAGAGTGTTCTCAGACTGGCCGTCCAAGAATAACAGAGTCTCATAAGTCTTGAAATTAAATATTAGCGTAAAACATTGAAGCCCTTCAGAAGCTCATAGCCCGCTCTGCTTGGAAATGCGGCGCTGTGGGGATGGGTTGCCTTTGTTTATTCTGCAGGAGGGCAGTAGCGGTATTTTTAATATCAGTGCCCCTGGTAGACAGTTCCTAGAGCCCAGGGGAGCTTGAGATTGGGCATGAGATTGGAAGAGAGGGCCAGGCAGAGGGATGAAAAAGCGGACTTCCAAACAGAATGTTCTTTGGATGAACTGAAGGCAGGTTGAGTCTGGGTTTTATTTTTAAGCATCTGAAAACAGGGATACCCTCTGGGAAGGCTTTCAGAGAGTCCTTGGGAATGAGCCTGTAGAGTGTGTGTGTGTATGTGTGTGTATATGTGTACATGTGTATGTGTGGGTATGTATGTGTGTTTGCATGTGTATGTGTGTGTGTATATGTGTACATGTGTATGTGTGGGTATATATATGTGTATGTGTGTATATGTGTACATGTGTATGTATGTGTATATATGTGTGTATGTGTGTATGTGTGTATATATGTGTACATGTGTATGCATGTGTATATATATGTGTGTATGTGTGTATATATGTGTACATGTGTGTATGTATGTGTGTTTGCATGTTCGTATGTGTGTATATATATGTGTGTGTACATGTGTATGTGTGGGTATGTGTGTTTGCATGTGTATGTGTGTGTATATGTGTACATGTGTGTATGTATGTGTGTTTGCATGTTCGTATGTGTGTATATATGTGTGTGTACATGTGTATGTGTGTATGTGTGTGTATATGTGTATGTGTGTATGTGTGTATATATGTGTGTGTGTATGTGTGTGTATGGGGAGGGTAGGTTGCTGTAGCTCCGCCCTGAGCTAAGGGGCAGTCCCTGTCATGGGAGGTGCCGTCTGCATGTGGGGCAGTGGAAACGCATGGACGGATATGAGAAAGGAGCCTGTAGAGTGTGTGTGTGTATGTGTGTGTATATGTGTATGTGTGTGTGTATGTGTATGGGGAGGGTAGGTTGCTGTAGCTCCGCCCTGAGCTAAGGGGCAGTCCCTGTCATGGGAGGTGCCGTCTGCATGTGGGGCAGTGGGAACGCATGGACGGGTATGAGAAAGGAGCCTGTAGAGTGTGTGTGTATATGTGTGTGTGTGTGTGTATGTGTGTGTACATGTGTATGTGTGTGTGTGGGGGGAGGGTAGGTTGCTGTAGCTCTGCCCTGAGCTAAGGGCAGTCCCTGTCATGGGAGGTGCCGTCTGCATGTGGGGCAGTGGGAACGCATGGACGGGTATGAGAAAGGAGCCTTGCTGATTGAATAAGGGCCAAGCAATGCGTCTCTCCAGATTAGCAGATGGAGATCTGTCTCGTGTGCTCAGCATCTCTATTTTGAGCGCAGAGCGCATCTCCCCAACTGTTTCTTCCCTCGCCCCTCCCTCTCCAGACCCGGAAGCCCCTCTGCTCTTCGGGTTTCTCATGTTATTGGTATGGGTTTGCTCCTTGGCTGCACCTTGAGGTTTCTTGGCTGTTGACTGGGGCTGAGGACTGTCCACTGTGATGCTTGAGTCGGCAGGACCCCAGGACTACCCGCAGACAGGGCCGTGCTGGCTTCTCCAGGGATCTAGCTGGAGAAGTGAGGGTGTGGGTGGCAGAGAGGGAAAGTCACTGAGAACAGAACTCCAGCCAGTTAAGTGTGGGGTTTCACGAGGCCAGCCAGCTGGTGCTGGGCACGCTGCTAACACACCTCCTCCTGTCCCAAGAGCTTTGCGTGCGGCTCACACATTGTGAGAAGTCAGTTTGCATAGCTGGCTGGTATGAAATTCTTGGGCATTCGCACTGTTTAAATCTTTATGTATATGGGCGTTTCCCTTGCATGTATGTCTATGGACCATGTGTGTGCCTGGGGACTGTGAAAGCTATAAGATGGCATCAGATACCCCAGAACTACAGACATGAGCTGCCATGTGGGGGCTGGGAATCAAACCCGGTCCTCCAGGAATACAGTCAGTGCTCCCAACCGCTGGGCCCTTGCTCCAGCCTATTTTGGGTGCTTCATATCATGAGAACATCAGCTTAGTTACTATAGACAGCTAAAACAGGCATTTGACAGAGCTGGGCATGTATGCTTACACACAGATGTTCTGTGTGTGTGTGTACGTGTGCATGCATGTGTGTGTACATGTGTGTGTGTGTCCAAGTGCACACCTCTGCAGGCTTGAGCAGCTGTGCAGACATCTGAATTGCACTTCATGAACCCTGGAGTATGGGATCTTTCTGGTATTTCAAGGAAGGAAAAAAAGAAATAAGATACTTCCATCTGGTTTTCTTTTTTTTTATTTCAACACTTTGCTTCTGGAGAAAACAAAAACCTAAAAATAAGCCTGCATCCTTTCTTTCTGTTTTGTTTTACCCACGTGGACCAACTCTGCGAAGCTGAGGTTCCTAGGACTGAGCTAAACCCCCAACCCACTGATATGTGCCGAGTGCTTTCGGCATAGTTCCTGCTCTAGTTGGTCATGCCACCAGTATCCTAAGTGATGGCGGAGTGTCGGCCGTGAGTCCCCTTCTTCCTCAAGTCACCATGGTCACAGTCATCTTAGAGGACATGTCCATGCCTACTTCTAGGCAGATGCATAAAATGCAGCACAGGTTCCCATGTTATCCTAAAATCCTCAAGCGGTCTCTTAGCTGTGGCAGGGGGAGGGGCTTCGTTAGCTTTGAGAGAACTTAATTAATAGTTCTAACTAGTGGGTAGAGTCTAGACGGGTATCTGAGGTGAAGTTGGGTGCGGTGGCGCACATCTTTAATCCCAACGCAAGGAAGGCAGAGGCAGGTGGATCTCTGTGAATTTGAGGCCAGTCTGGTCTAGCTAGGGCTACCTAGGGAGACCCTATGTAAAAATAAATAAAATACAGATAGTATAGTTGCTTTTTTTTTTCTCTTGGTGGCTTTGCAGGTCCCTTGGTAACAGGTACCAGAAGAGACACAAATGAACTGTGTCCCCTTTGAGCTGTCTGGCTGATTACTCCCCTCCCCATAAGGTGGTGTGGGGGTTAAGAGCAGGGACCCTTTTCTAGTGGCGAACTTGGCCTGTCATATTTTTGTCATGTGAGAAGCATGACAAGGGTTGGGTAGAATCGGAAACTCTGAGTAGTCACTGTCTGTGCGATGCCGGTGGGCTTTGACCTATGTCAGATGCAAAACTGTGAAGGGCTGAGCATGTGTCTTGGGAAGCGGGGTGGCGGGTAGTCCTACTTCAGAGAAAAGACGGAGTGGGCTAGCAGTATTGTTTGCTCGAGACCTACACCAGAAGGACGTGGTGATTCGCCCGAGGTTCTTTCTCAGCTCTTCTTGCTTTAGTTACACCCGTTTGGGGAATCTGAAGGCGAGTTGGACGAGCATAAGGCTGCCTCGCAGAAGCAACAGGTGGCCATACCTTGATCCCCAGCAACCCGGGAGCTTCTGGAGCTGGGAGACTTAACTGGAGTGGAAGGGTTAACTCAGGGCTGCAGCAGCTGACCGCGCGCACAGCATAAACAGCATTCGGGAATGAGATCACTTCTGTTTTGGGAACCCTGAAGGCAGACACAGCTCCATTTGTTCCTGTAATCATTGCCTTGTTTGAGAGTGTTTATGTTTAGAAACTCGTGTTGGAATATTTATCGGTTGGGGGTGCTGAAACCAACTCT